TTTGCAATGAGGCGTTCGATAGTTTTTGTGTTGCCTCTGGTATTGCAAGGCACAGAACTACCGCAGGTACTCCACAACAAAATGGTTTGGCTGAAAGGTTTAATCGAACTATTTTGGAGAGAGTTAGATGCATGTTGACTAGTGTGGGATTAAAGAAGGTGTTTTGGGCTGAGGCTGTTTCGACAGCAGCATATCTGATAAACAGATGTCCTTCGACAGCGTTAGATATGAAGACACCTGAAGAAGTTTGGTCGGGACATCCACCAGATCTCGACAAACTAAGAGTATTTGGCTGTGTAGCCTATGCTCACATTAGGCAAGACAAGGTCGAACCTAGAGCTCTGAAATGCATGTTTATGGGATACCCTGAAGGAGTGAAAGCTTATAGGCTATGGTGCCTAGAGCCAGGTCACAGGAGGTGTATCACCAGTCGAGATGTAGTTTTCAATGAAACTGAAATGGCTTTCAAGAAGACTGATGATGTTGACGAAGAGCTGGAACAGGTAGAGATTCCTGTTGAGGTGGAGCATGTTGATGCTGAAATGCGTATCCCAGATGAAGTCGAAGAAGAAACAGAAGATTCTGATGATGTTGAGGAAACTGTTGATGACTACCTATTGTCAAGAGATAGGCAAAGAAGAGTCATAAAACCACCTCAGAGACTTGGATATGCAGATCTTGTAGCTTATGCCTTAATCTCTGCAAGTGAAGTTCTAGACGAAGAACCTAGAGATTATAAGGAAGTTATAAGGAGTCGAATGAAGACTGAATGGCTAAAGGCCATGCATGATGAGATGAAATCTCTTCATGATAATCACACTTGGGAACTAATCAAGAAACCTGTTGGGGCAAGGTTAGTCAGCTGTAAGTGGATTTTCAAAGTTAAGGAAGGAATTGAAGGAGTAATGTCGAAGAGGTACAAGGCAAGATTAGTCGCAAGGGGTTTCACTCAGAAAGAAGGTGTCGACTTCAATGATGTATTTTCCCCTGTTGTGAAGCACAGATCCATCCGAATGTTGCTTGCCATGGTGGCTCAGTTCGACCTTGAACTGGAACAAATGGATGTGAAGACTGTGTTCTTGTATGGTGACTTAGATGAAACAATCCTGATGAGGCAACCTGAAGGGTATGTCGAAAAGGGGAAAGAAGATTATGTGTGCAAACTGAAGAGATCTTTATATGGACTTAAACAATCTCCTCGACAGTGGAATAAGAGATTCGACAAGTTCATGGAACACATAGGTTTCATTAGAAGTCAGTTCGACCATTGTGTTTACTCCAGATTTCGACCTGAAAATTCATTTGTTATTTTGTTGCTTTATGTTGATGATATTCTGATAGCAAGCAACAATGTCGAAGATGTAATGAGGGTGAAGGTTGAACTCAATAAGGAGTTTGACATGAAGGATCTGGGAGCTGCATCTAGGATTCTTGGAATTGACATTCGAAGAGATAGAAAGCAGTCGAAATTATGCTTATCTCAAGAGGCATACCTACGAAAGATTCTTGACAAGTTTGGTATGTCGAATTCAAAGCCTGTTGTGACTCCAACAAACCCTCAATTCAAGCTGAGCATTGATCAATGTCCCAGTACTGATGTTGAAAGAACCTATATGAACAGCATCCCATATGCTAATATAGTTGGTTCTTTGATGTATGCTATGGTCTGTACTAGACCCGACATAGCATATGCAGTAAGTCTTGTAAGCAGGTACATGGCGAATCCTGGAAAGGCTCACTGGCAAGCGTTAAAGTGGATTCTAAGGTACATAAATGGGTCTCTGAACAGAGTCTTAATTTATGGTGGAGCCTTGGGTGAAGATAGTAAAGCAGCTGTCGAAGGCTATGTTGACTCTGATTATGCAGGCTGTATGGATTCCAGAAAATCTATTTCTGGATATGTTTTCACTATGTTTGGTACAGCAATTAGTTGGAAAGCAACTCTTCAGAAGGTTGTTGCCTTATCAACTACTGAAGCAGAATATATTGCCCTAACTGAAGCTGTGAAAGAAGCATTATGGCTTAAAGGTTTTGCAAAGGAGCTGAAACTTCAAGGTCAAGGTATCACTGTTAAATGTGATAGTCAAAGTGCAATACACATGTCGAAGAACTCAGCCTATCATGAGCGAACCAAGCACATAGATGTGAGGCTGCATTTCGTCAGAGGGGTAATCGAGCGTGGAGAAGTCCAAGTGCTGAAGGTCTCGACAGATCACAATGCCGCTGATATGATCACCAAAACATTGCCAAGTTGCAAGTTTTTCCACTGTATGCAGTTGATAAAGCTGCATGAAGAAAGCTAGTTAGTGTCTCTTGATGCTGTAGAGTTAGGTCCAAGGTGGAGATTTGTGGGATTTTGGATCAAACTCTAGTATGATCGAAGTACATGCTGTAGTCGAAGAAGGGTCCAGCATGTATTTGTCGAAAATGCTTGTTAAATTAGGTTTTAGTGTTTAAACCCTAATTTGTTAAGTTAGCTTGTGTATTAAGTTAGCTTGTATAATGGGCCTTGTGGAAAAAGCCCATTAGTTAGTATGTTAGGTTTTATTATAAATAGCATACTAGTCTCTCATCATTGCAACACACAGCAAATCCTAATTTAGGGTGAGAGGGTTATTTGTTATTCTTGTAAACTTGTAATCTTGTTTTCTAAGAGAAAGTAAAGAATAGCAGTTATAACCAATTCTTGTGTTCTTCTTCTTCCTTGTTCCTTATTCCTCCCTTATTCTATACTTTGTTATTGGCATTGAATTCACAACATTTCCCATTTTAAATGTCCACCTTTTGTTCCTTATATAAAGCTACCTCCATTCCCCGTTTCTTCGTTTAACATGTCAACTTATCATGGTCTCTTTTAATTTGAGAAAATGCTAGCTACATTAAATTATCACGGCTTCTTTATTTTTGTTATCATTCCTTACTATATGATAAAAATTTTAAGGTTTCAATATATGCCAGAGTTCGAGATCTAAAACATCTTTTAGATCTAAAGAAAGTAGGTGCGACAGACGCCACTATGGAATATGTAGAGGTACTGTAAAAATAAAATATTTATCTCTCCCCTTAATAGTTGGAGTTTATGACAACGGTTGCTGATAATTTAAGTGGAAACTACAGTTAAATATTAAGTTTATTCTTGCAGACTAGCTTACAACTCAATTCTAAGTTGCTGAAAGGCCTGGGAATGATGTTTGATGATGTAGCTTTTGAGTAACAAGAGTTGCTGAAAGGCCTGGGAATGATGTTTGATGATGTAGCTTTTGAGTCAGCTTGTTAGAGACTCTATGGAGCACAAGCTGATGTAGCAGTCAGCCTACCAGATTATCGAGAATCAAAGATTATGGAACCACTTCAGGTACTTCAAAATGATGACTTGCTTAAATGCTCATGATTAGTGTGTGTGAGAGAGAACGAGAGTCGACATGCAGATTTATCTGAAATTATTAAAATTTATAAATTAGAAGGCGAAGAAAAGTTGGTCGGAGAAATTTGTTGACTTGAGTAGTAAACTTTGACATGATGTCATTTATCTTATTTATTTTCTATGGGTCTTATTGCCAAATTTTCAACAAAAATGAAATCGTATTAGAAGCTACGAAATCAAGTTTTTATCTAATATTTGTCGAATTTGTTACTCTTGCAGACTCATGTAAATTTCTGTTGATACTGGAATTTTGTTGTTTTAGAACTAACCGAGAAGCCTCGTATAAAATCTGTGATAACATCGTCGTGTACCGAAAATCTGAGTGTGCTATCTAACTTGGAATACTACAGGTGTAGATATTACAATGAGTTGAAAGATGATTTTCATAAGTTTGAAATCTCCAACTCAACATTTCGGTTTTATTTTGTTTCAACAAGGATTATTATTCTTTGAGCGAGCTTTTGAGACATGTTTCAAGAATTGTTGGTTGTGGTGTTAAGATTATGAATAAAAAAATTGCTAAGTCCAGATTTTAAGAATCTAGAAAATAAGAACATGAAAGTTGGATTGTAAAATTTTAAGTATATAATATTTTTTCTAAGTAGTTCTAATTTACATAATTTGAATTTTAGTTATTTAGTTTAGTAATGATTGGTTGAAAATGGGTTGTAAAATATTTTAAAGAATAATTTTATTTTTAAAAATAATAATGTTGATATTTGTAAATATATAATGTTAAGAATATTTGTATGTAGAATACACTACAACATTTGTTGTCTCTGGCAACACTTTTTTAGGTAACATGTAGAAATTGTTGCCTTAAATTCATATAGGCAACGATTTACAATTGTTGTCAAAAATATGTTTGTAACCCTTGATAATCGTCGCCTAAAATACTTTTGGGGACGTTTATGGAGCGATACTCTTTTATTTTTTTGCCAACGGTCGTTAATTGTGCCCTTAACTGCTTTTGGGAACGATTTTAGAACGTTAAAATATTATTTCTTTAGCAATGTTTGACAATTGTCCCCTAAAATATTTTTGGGGACATTTTTAGATTGTTACATTAGTTATAATAAAAGGCTACATTTCTGAAATGTTGTATAAATTTTTTTAGAATTATCAAATTTTTGGTGGCAATCTTCCCTCCAAAACTTATACACTAAAAAACAAATATTTTTCTCTAAACATTATTAAAAACACCAAAGAAAAGAAAAGAAAATGTCCATCTTATTAATAAGTTGATATATATATATATATATATATATATATATATATATATATATATATATATATATATATATATATATATATATGAAACTTATTAATTTGTTGATATATATGAAACTTTTAGAAGATCGTTAAAAATTAAGATAATTTCCTTCTTATTAATTTGTAGAAGAACGTTAAAACGGGCTTATCCAATAAAAAATAGGTCCAAGGTATATGAAATCCTCAAATCCAAAATCAAAAGCTGAGAAAAACTAGGGTTAGAGATTTCCTTAACTTCGCTTCGTGATCAGCTTCGATCGCTCGATTCTTTCGGAGACGAAGCTGAAACGCGAGCTCTGAATTAATGGCGACTCAAACGATAAAGCGGAAGCCATTGTTCGTGAAGGCCGGTGAGCTGAAACCAGGAACAAGTGGACACACTCTGACAGTGAAGGTGGTTAGTTCTTCATCGGTGAAGACTGTCTCCAGCCGTGGTGGTCGATCGTCAGTGATTGCTTCTCGATCAGGGTAGTGGTGTGCAGGGGTAACTTAGTATTTCTTTTGGTTCAAATAACTTACCATGAATTAGTATGTTCTGATTATGTTAAGCATACTAAACTTAGATTGTTATAATTAAAACAAACTCCAATAATAGGTCCTAATATGCATCATGAATTCTATTTAAATATTAGATCGCAACATGCTCGAAGTTGGAAATGGACTTTATGCAAATTGTATGGCAGATTTCTCTGGCCCTTTTTGTATGAAACATGGAAAATTAATCGCCGACTTATTAACACAGTAAAGACAAATGACAAAGATGTTGATCCCACTGTAGTTGTTGTTGCTGCCGTTGAAGGGAGAGAAGGAACCAGTATTCTTCTTCGGTTCCAATTTTTCCAGGTTTGATTTCATGTTCTTAATTTACTTTGATGATAAATTTTCTTCTTATGTTCTTCAATTTTATTTCAATAAGGTAAACCAGTGTTCTTCAGTTCAATTTCAATGATCTTCCCATAAAACAGTGCATCAATTCATGTGCAACATTTCAATTCTGAGAGTGAATTATGTAAGAGGCCAAATTTAAGTTATGTGGTTCTAACATCTTCATGACATGCCACCTTACTTTGTTCTTTGTGATTTGTGGGAATCATTCAGGGAGTGGAGTGCTTACGGTGCTGGAGTGCCACTTGTACTTAATTAATGACAAAGATAGTGTTGTTCAATATTATGTTCCTTATCTTTCCGGGATTCAAATTTATGCCCATACTGTCAAGCCACCTGTGAAGTCAAGGTATATTGCTTGCTTTGGTGGAAGATTGATTTTGGTGAACATTCATTCTAAGGGGCAACCCATAATACCTTATTAATATATTATTGTTTTCTTCTGTCATAGGCAACTAGGTGATGACAGTGACAGTGATTTCAGGGACTCAAGTAGTGATGGTAGCAGTGATTGTGAACCTGCTAGAGGATATAGGGAACAAAGGAATCTTCCCCATCTCTCGGATGACTTATCTAATTGGATGGGTAGATTATCTGTGAGAAATCAGCATACTCTCCTGCAAGATGGCTTTTCTAGTGATGATGGTGAATCTATCAATTCTCAGGGCTACTTGCTATTCGAGTATTTTGAACGGGACACTCCTTATGGTCGTGAACCTTTGGCTGATAAGGTGTGATAACTTGCTGACTCTACATTGCCAAATCCATGGAAGTTTGTTATTTCCATAAGTTTGTTTAGCTTTTGATTAATCCTCTTTTTTTTTTGTGTTGGATAGATGATGGACCTTGCTTTTCGTTTCCCTCAACTGCTGACACTTAGAAGTTGTGATATACTATCATCAAGTTGGATATCTGTAGCATGGTATTCTTCTTTAATTATGTAATTCGACATTCTACTTATGCATATGCACATGGGACTGACCTGGTTCTATGTTTGGTTTGTAGGTATCCTATATATAGAATCCCAATGGGTCAAACATTAAAAGATCTCGATGCGTGCTTTCTGACATACCATTCTCTTTCTACACCTCTGGGAGGTAGGATGAATTTTCCTTCATTTTAGTTGTTGGATTTTGCTTTATAACATATTTGAGAAAGTGATGATAACTGAGCAGTCTATTACTTTACATGAGTTTTTATTTTTATTTAAATGAATGAATTTTCTACTTCGATTGGCATTTTGTATTAGGCTTTTAGTGTTAACGCGTTAAATGGATAAACAACTTAATTAAATGATTATAGCTTAAACACTTGTATAGGCTAGCTCGACTACAATTAGGTTATTTTGATGCTAAGTGACTGTCACAATGTGTCATGTTTGTTTTACACATTTTCAAAAGTTTTGTAAAACGTGATGATTTTGCCTTGACTGTTAAAATTATGAAAATCAGAATTTCATTTTCCAATTCCTGGTGTTGATTGTTCGTCCTCATCTACCACAGACTTGTGTTGTGTTCAATCATGGCTAATGTTTCTATATAAGCTTACACTGCCAGCTATAAGTGCTTAATTTATATCCATGGTTTAATCATTGCAAGATGTTACAGATGTGTGTGATGATAACCAGTTGTCCAATTCGTATTTTGCTTCAGTTGCTTTAATGGAACAAATATTATTCTCCTATTCAGGTTTACAAAGAGTGCAGCCTCCTGTACCATCACATCCAACCAAGATGGATGGTGTCCTAAAAATATCTTTACCTGTTTTTGGTCTTGCCTCATACAAGTTCAGGGGACCCCTGTGGACTCCAAGTGGTGGATACGAGCGCCAATTATCCAACTCTCTTTTACAGAATGCTGATAAATGGTTACGACTGCTTCAGGTCAGTCACCCAGATTTCCTGTTTTTCAGCCGTTGATTGCGTGAACGTGGTTCACGCATGTAACTCTTAAGAATTGGTCCTGCTGTTTTCCAATCCCTCCTCTGGCCCAATTCTTAGATGTTTACTTTATGAAATCGGAATTAATCACCTTTTTGACGAGAAGGAAAAAAAAGAAAAGGTATAAAAGATGTTAAGAGTCTCCTTTGTAACTTTCTGCTGTAATATGCAAAAGAATCAGAGAGTAAAAGTCGAAATAAAAGAAGCAAAGTTCTAGACAAGCAGCGGTTTGTAATGTGTTGATGGTGGATGTACAAATTTAAGAGATGCTTCACGAGTGGTGGCTGATGTTTGTTGTGAGGTTGTTTTGTTTTGCTAACATCGATGTTACACCAATTGGTCAGGAATGCCAGATGATAATAAAAACCGTTTCTGGAGATATACTAATGTATGTTTTTATCTATGAATTTGAAAGTCTAATTATTAAAAAAAAAGTGTTTCATTTCTTGATAAGATTATGGGACCCCCTTGTTTGATAACACTCACTATGTATGCTGTAAAATTATCCATATGATACTGAACACCAAAGAAGATACAACAAGTAAGAGTGTTCATCAGAGTTCATTTACTCCAAAAAATAAACATAAAAGGATAGCACAAGTTATACATACATACATACATACATACATACATACAGTTAAAGGCTATTGTAAGTCCTGAATAGTGAGCCAAAAACAGAATGGTTTTCATAATTGATTTATTTGCTAGTAAGCTCATGTCACCTATTACAATTTAGAACGAAAATTCACATCCATTAAAAACCTTCATAATTAATTCACATCCATGAGATGTGAAGAATATAAACAATGTGTTTTGCTCATTGGTTTAGTTTTTATTTGTGCGAGGTTTAATTCTTGTTGATGTCTTAATTGTCCTTTGGACCAAAAATACTTATGGTTAATGTGTTTTATTTTATTTTCTTATGCAGCAATGTATCAATGAAGATGTTGAAAAGGACGATATAAATGATGAAATTCAAGAGGACGACATAAATGATAAAATTCAAGAGGACGACCTAAATGATAAAATTCAAGAGGACGACGTAGATGACGAATTTCAAGAGGACGACATAGATCTAGATGATGAATTTCAAGAGGAGGATATAGATGGTGAATTTCAAGAGGACGACGTAGATGAAGAATTTATGGAGGATGACATATCTAACGAATTTCAAGAGGACGATCTGGATGCTTTACTCCTAGAAGACAAACTTGAATGAGTTGGATGATGTCTTTTTTTTGGCTTGTAGTTGAAAGCATTAAACTTGAAATATGATTTTTGTTCTTTTGCTGAACTATGTTTTTAGTTATTTTACTAGGGTCATACTTCAAAGTATTAAAAGTAATATTGTTACATTAGGCATTTTGTGTACTCTATATACTATATCTTGAATTAAAGTTTGAACTCGATTTTATTATATTACAACTTTTATGGATTTATGGTTTAAGTTATATAATCAATATTATTTTTGAAGCCAATTATTATTGACTATATTATTTTGATAATAATTGCAAAATTGTATATTTTATGTGGACACTATAAAACAACAACCTATAAGCTATGGCTACACTTCAAAAACGATCTTCCTGATTCAGGTTTAAGGCAACGATTGTTAATTGTAGCCGAATTTGGAAACACAACGCTTAAAAAATGTTGTCTTAGAGGCCGTAAATAATCGTCCCCTATTCCTTTACTATAGGCGACGTTTTTCAAAAGCGTTCCCAAAAAACATAAAAAAAGGTCGCCTCAAACAATAGGCAACGCTCGCACAGGAGACGCCTAGAAAACGTCCCCTATTGTTTTAGGCAACGATTTTCAGAGTTCTGGCAACGTTTTTCAATTGTTGCTGGAGAGCCTAAATGTTGTAGTGATAGTCCCACATCGATTATATAGTGTAATTAGTTGTAATCTCTCTATATATAATAAAGTCTCCGTGGTGTTTTCATAACACACGGTTTAACCTAAATGTCTCTTCTCTCCTAATTCAATATGGTATAGCCTTCTAAGAGGTAATTCTTCGCCATGCTTTATTCGGTTGACCCACTGTCTTCCGGTGAGAAATTTTCTTCTGCAAATCGTGTCATCATTTTGGTTTTCCTCACCTTTTTTTTCAGCGACCTTCGCCAAGCACAGTCAACGGAAAAAAAATTCGGAGGACTACTGTTCACCGTCGCTGTCACTGTTCACCGTCGCCGCACTGTTCACCGCTGCCGCTACTGTTCACGAAAAAAATTTTCTCTCTCGGAAAATCGCCTTCCTCCTCCAGTTCCAGATCCTCCCTCGGTTTTCGTTTTCGACTCACAAAAAGTCGTACTCTTGTTCAAACAGTCCCGGTTGTTGTGTTTTAAGCCATGGGAGATGCTGATTTTATCCCGTTTACTAAAATTCCGCTTATCCCATGTGAAAAACTAACCAGATCAGCCAATTATAACATATGGGCTCGTGCTGTCGAGATGTGGTTTCACGGTCAAGGATATGAAGAGCATCTAACCATTCAATTGAGTGGCGTTGCAGCCATCAAACTCGCTAAATGGAAGAAAACGGATGCCTCTTTGTGTATTGTGTTGTGGTTTTCCATAGCACCTAACCTCCAAGTGCAGTACCAAGCATTCTCCACTTGTTATGAGGTGTGGCAAAAGGCCAAGAAAGTCTTTTCCAACGACGTTCATTCTCTATACAGTGTCATCCACAAACTCAACACACTGAAGTTGGAAAATATAGATGTGCAAGCTTATCTGAGTAAGCTTGATGCCTTGAAAGCAAATTACGCAACCATCATGCCTTACGCAAAAGATGCAATAGCTCATGTCGAATAATAGAGTAAATATTTCATGGTCATGGCACTTAAAGGACTACCATCAGAACTCGAATTTGTTCGTAACCAGATTTTATCAAGTACTATTGTTCCTAACTATGATACAGTTAGTGAACAATTGTTGTGCTTGGCTACACCTCATGCGTTTGGCCCGGTTTCTTCTTCATCTATTGTTATTCCAATACCAGGTGACATGTTGCTCTTGCATCTCTTGGCAACAATCAAAATCGCCTTCGAGGAGGGTCATCCAACTCCAAACCTCGTTCTAAGTGTGACCATTATAACCGGATTGGACATACTATCGATCGTTGTTGGAAGTTGCATGGTAAACCTCCACGGCAGGTAAATGCAACTCAAATTGATAACCCAGACACTATGTAGACTTCACCTTCTCTTCAGAACCCTACGCCAAGCTACGAGGATTTTCTCAGGTGGTGTCAGACTAACCAGACCTCTGGTTCCACGACTTCGATTGCACACACTGGTAATTCATCTATTTGCGTCTCTCAATCATCTCCTCTTGGTCCTTGGGTCCTCGACTCTAGTGCATCTGATCATGTTACCGGTAATAAAAATCTTTTCTCTTCCCTTTCTACCTCTGGTTTCTTACCGAGTATAACTGCCACAAATGGTTCTCAAACCCGATCCCAAGGGATCAATACTGTTCAAATTCTACCCTCTCTCTTCGTTACTTTTGTCTTATATGTACCTAATTGCCCATTTAATCTATTGTCAGTCAGTCGTTTAACTCGTTCCCTTAATTGTTCTATCACTTTTACTAACAGTGATGTTATTCTACAGGATCGAAGTTCGGAATAGACGATTGGCGTCGGATGTGAGTCTCAAGGCCTCTACTACTTCTCTACGTCATCTACCACATGCTCCACCACAGATTCTCCACTCATTATACATGCGCAGTTAGGTCATCCAAGTCTTCCCAAGCTACAAAAGTTGGTGCCCATTTTATCTAAATTATCCACTTTATAGTGTGAGTCTTGTCAATTAGGGAAACATACTCGTAGTCACTTTCCTGATCGATTCAATAAACGGGTTGCGTCTCCTTTTTCTTTAGTTCACTCCGATGTTTGGGGTCTATCGTGTACTGTGTCTACTTTTAAGTCTAGGTATTTTGTAACGTTTATTGATGATTTTTCACGTTGCACGTGGCTATTTTTAATGAAATACAGATCTAAATTATTTTCTATTTTTGAACAATTTTATCGAGAAATAAGAACCCAATTTGGTTTGTCCATTCGTACCTTAAGAAGTGACAATGCACGTGAATATTTATCCCAACAATTTCAAACTTTTATGTCATCCAATGGTATTCTGCACCAAACATCTTGTCCTCATACACCTCAACAAAACGGGATAGCCGAACGCAAAAACCGGCATCTCGTAGAAACCACTCGAACTCTACTTCTCCATGGTAATGTCCCTCTCAGATTTTGGGGGGGATGTTGTGCTCACGGCGTGTTATCTCATAAATCGCATGCCCCCGTCTGTCCTTAATAATAAAATTCCTCATTCAATCTTGTTTCCAAACTCTCCTCTTCACCCAATTCCTCCTCGAGTCTTCGGGTCTACGTGTTTTGTGCATAATCTCTCCCCTGGTCTTGATAAACTATCAGCTCGATCACTAAAGTGTGTCTTTCTTGGTTATCATTGATCCTAAAAGGGTTATCGTTGCTACTCACACACTCTGCAATGATACCTGATATCGGCTGATGTTACCTTCTTCGAGTTTGTGCCATATTTTTCGTCCACCCAAGTCACTCCGGAACCCCTTCAGGAAAGTACTCCCACACCTCTTTCGGCCGTCCCATTTCCCACTATTCCCCATCATTCTAGGGAACCTGTTCCACGAGAAACCCCTACGGGTGACCCCCCAACTTCTCGCCCACTTCAAACATATCAGCTTCGTAAACCAACGTCTGCCATACCTGTCCCTGAGGTTGTACATGTCCCTGAGGTCATACCTGTCCCTGAGGTCATTGCATACTCTCCTCCGACGCTACCGTCATCACCAGATTCAATCCTGCAACCTGAGTCTAATTTTCGGATTGCCCTTTGCAAAGGTATACGTCAAACACGAAATCCTTCTCCATATTATATTAATTTATGTTATCATCGTCTTTCCCCTTTGCAGTATACTTGTTTGTCC